CTTTATTATTCTGCTTTATTATTCTGTTATTTTACCTGTGTTAACTCGGAATCAAACTAAAGTCTTCGTTTTCGTCATCTGAAATCATCTCTTTTATTTAACTCTAATTTAACTTTGGCTACAGTCCCTGTGGACGATAATCCGGTACTTGTACCACTTATTACTTGGAAAAGACGACGTTGGGCTATTTTGTATACTTGCTTTATGGCCCAATTTCTTTAGTCTGAAGGTGTGAAATATAACCGACCATCTTGTCTGTTAAACAAAATCCATGTTCTGTCATGTCCAGAGTATCGAACGCACTCTAAAGGCGGCTCTAGATTCTTGCTTCTATTAATACCTTGCATTATTTTGGCTACATTCATTAACTTTAGAAAAATTAGAAGATTAACGAATTCAAATTTTAAAAAATTATAAGGGTACTCGTGCAATGAATCGAGATACATTTTCATTTCAATGTTTCGTTTTATTTTTTATCCATGTCGATATAATACGATTTTATGTGGTTTTGGGAAATCGATAATGTTTTTATTTTTGAATAAAATATAAATTTAAAAATATCATATCAAATTTGCAAAAAAATATATCAATATTAGTATCAAATTAACTAATTAAAAATTCTTGTTTGTTTATTTTTTTTTTTAATTCAAAAATTTTACTATAATTTAATTTAATGTAACGAAGTAACTTAATTTAGGTTTAATAATATTTTTTATAAAGATAATAATTAAATATTCTGTTAGAACTCAACATTTATCTTAATTATATTTTAGATTTTTTATATTTTAAAATGAGATGTTTATTATCTATTTGATTATGTTTATCCACAGTTAGTTACACGAATTCAAACATAGAGCTTTAATAAGTTGTACTTATGTACAATTTACTTGTAATATTGAATTTTAAGTAATATGTATCAATAAACAGTGCTTTATGTATACAAAAGATTTTTAAGAGTTTTTGTCAAATGCTTTACAATATAGTATAGATTAATACATGAAATTGAAATGATTTTTATTATACCTCATATCTTGTTGGTATCGTGTAACTGACGTGTAACTCAGTTGGTAAAAAGGTGGGATGACTTTGTCCAAATATAAAACAGGTTTTGGGCTCGATGCAGGCCCCTAACTAGCTTCAGTCGCTGAGTGAGCCAAAACCTTGGAGGAGGGTTTCATATAGGACCCTTTAAAGTTGCCAGTAATTAACTTTTGCCTACATGTTGTTGGTATCCTAGTTGGATATCGAGGAAGATCATCCCTAACATCTCCACCATATCATCGAGCGACAACAACACACATAACTTTTTGGTACCTGAAACAATAGAAGAAAAAAAATCGACAAATGTAATTGCTTTAAAATGAATCATAACCAGCATTTCTTACAATTAATAGACCAACAAATAAAATATGGTACCTTATTTTCTAAAAGAATCGACATCATAATTGTTGTAAATACACAATCCATCTATATTTCACAGTATCCAATACAGATCCGAACAAAACCAGGACCCACAACAACCAAGACTGTCTAGATACAAGACAAAGAACAACCAAAGTTCACAGAATACTACAACAAATTGAGCAAATGAAACAACAAACAAAAACCCAACTAAGAAATCTAGGCTAATGAATAAGCCAATTACCCAAAAGTCACTAGGTCGGACCCATTAAACGATAAAAAAATCAACGTCTTTGAGTCAGGTCCATAATCATCAGTTCGCAATTGTTACGCATTCGACCCAAAACCATTTTCCTATGAACCCCCAAGGTGGACACTTATGGATCTGACATTACAGATTCAAGGAAAATGGGTTTTAGGTCAGAATTTAGGGGTGTAAATGATGCGAGTCGAGCTTCGGTAGCAGTATACTCGACTCGAACTCGATAGTCATTTATCAAGCTCGAACTCGACTCGAAACTCGCGAATAGTTAAAAACAGAACTCGACTCGAACTCGATTGCAATCTTTAAACTTGAACTCGAGCTCGTTTGAAGCTTGAATCAAGCTCATCTGTTGAAATTTATGAAATTTTAAGGTCTTTTCTTATAAATTATAAAACTTAAAAGTGTTTTTTTTAATTTTAAAAAACTAAAGGCATGCACCTCAAACTTCATCATAATAAACACAAAATTACAAGCTTCATTTACATCTCTCTCTTTTTATAACAACTCTTCATTCTTATTTTATTATCTCTCTTTCAATGTGGGACAACTTCACCAACACTTCTATGATTTCTTTGTCCTTTTTAATTATGATTGTAATAAAAAAAATATTGATATAGTTTTTATAATTAAAAATGCATAATATCGTTCAAATATTTAAAAATATAAGACACTTTTATTACATTATATTGTAAAACTGATTATATTTTTAAAACTAACTATATATAAAAAATGGAGTATCTCACGAGTTTTTCGAGTCGAGTATTGGGTAGTTCGAGTCGAGTATTGGGTAGTTCGATTCGACTCGTTAATATGTCCAGTCGAATTCAAGTTTGAGCTGAGTCTATTCGAGTCGAGTGTTGACCGAGTTTTAACTGAGTCGATCTCGAATAGCTCGCGAGTTGTCTCGTATCATTTACACTTCTAGGTCAAATTCGTAATAATTACGAACCTGAGCCAAAAAATTCTAGATTTTTGTTGTTTAATGGGCCCGCAATAATTACGGACCTGAGTATTGTAGACTTATTAACTTTTGAATAAAGTCCGAAGCAAAATGGTTATAATATCAATTTTCCTTAAAAATATGACCAAAAATAAACGGAGATGAAGCGATTGGATATTTTAGTCTCGGGTTGTTTTTACTTTACTTTTACGATTAGATTTATGATCGGATGTGTCCACGTTTTTCACACCATGCACGTTTGCATTTTAATTGAATTCCACTTTTTCTTGGTCAGTAGAAAGTGTTGCGGGTGTTTTACTTCAGTGAATTTAATTAAACTAGTTATTTTTTTATCATGGTTTTTACCTTTTAGTCATTTCTCTCCTAAAATAACAAAAATAACAATAGGTTCTTAATTGGTAGATCCGTAATTTACGGTGGTGTCAACGTGTAAAAAAAGGTTTCTGAACCGGTTCCACGATCACAGGGATCAAATATGTAAATTAGTTATAGGTCCATAAAGAATGTGTTTTTTTAAATTTACATATTTGGTCCCTGCAATTACATAACTAGTTCAAAATCTTCTTCTTTTTACACTTTGACCCATCCGTAAATTGCAGAGCAGCCAATTGCGGACCTGTGACTATTTTCGTTATTTTTGAAGAGAAATGGTTGATGAAATCATACGGTCAAAGCTATTTTAATTGAATTCTCTTTAATTTAAGATATGAAGTAGGATTTCAAAAAAAATCGGTGCTTATTTTTATATGTCGTGGTTTTTATCTCATTATAATGTTTTAGCCTAAATTTATTATCGTAGTTTCTCTAATTTTCGATTTTGATTTTTGATGAATCTCAGAAGAATGATTTTTTTAAGTGGATTTCATGTTATTTTCTTAATTTAAGGTTCTTTTTTGTTGTTTTAAAATATAAAGCTTTTAGTATAATATATTATACAGACTTTTATATTTTGGTTTCTTTATTATACGTCTAGTTGATCTATAATACTGATATACGTAAATGATGGATTCCAAGAAGATTGGAACGCATGTATAAAGCAGTTTAGAATCAGTTTTATTTTATATTATTTTTCGTTAGAGTCAAAAACTACTTTAAATCAGTCTTTATAAGTATAACTTTTCGACATACTGTACAAGCTCTCTAAATATATGTTTCATTGGTTGGGTTCATGTGAGATCAAGGGTTTTTCGTGAGACCCGTAAGACCAATTTATGTTTATTGATCAACTTTATAAGCTAATGATCTAATGGTCTAAAGTTGCACGGTGACAATTTTATGATTATTGAGAAGTCTCGTGGCAATTTTGTGATTATGAATGTTCGTATTGTAGATCTAATTCAAGGATTGAAAATTGGTCTTACGGGTCTCACGAAAAACCTTTAATCTCACATGATCTCAAATTATTAATGTTAGTGGATAATATATATATATATATATATATATATATATATATATGTGTGTGTGTGTGTGTGTGTGTGTGTGTGTGTGTAGGGGACTAATCAAATGAGAACTGATTAGTTTGTGGTAACTGTGAGGTACAATCTCAACCACAAATCAACGGATAAATTAAAAAATTATTAATTATGGTAGTTTGAGTTAAAATTATAATTAGAGAGCATATTAGATATTTTTAAAGAACTTCTCTCTCCTCTCTCTGACCTCCAATCTCCGGCCTCCGGTGAAATCGGCATCACAGTATATCACAATAGGTATCACATTGTGCATTACAATGGGTATCACATTGTGTATCTTTGTTTTTAAGGTTTGAGCTGGTATCACAATATATCACAATGGGTATCACATTGTGTATCTTTGTGATTACTTGGTACCTGCCGGATTAATGTTCACCGGAAGCCGGAAAATGGAAGTTGGAGAGATGAGAGAGGAGAGAGAAGTTTTTTAAAAGTACCTAAAAACCCTCTAATTATAATTTTAACTCAAACTATCATAATTATTAATTTCCTAATTTATCCGTTGATTCGTGGTTGAGCTTGGATCTCACAGTTACTACAAACTAATCAGTTCTCTCTTGAATGAGCCCCTATATATATTATATTAAAATAATATATGAATAATAATTATTGATATTATAAAAATTAATTCAATCCAAAAAAAATAGATTCTTATAACAATGATCATTGAGTTCACCATTCTCAATTTGATGAGATGGATTTGGGATGAAAAAAGAAAAGAAGGTTCTTGTGCGTTGAAACAACTTATGTTTTTTTACAAAAGTATTTATCAACTTATTATAAGTTAGAAGGGTTTAACTTTCTAAAACACTTTTTATTACTAGTTTGTCATCGATATAAGTTGTTTATTCAAACACTCAACAGTGATTATTATTGGTGTCATACCAGAATAAATCAATAAGTTATTTTTATATGCAATCCCAAACAGCCACGGTGATGCTTTAACAATGTGAGGCTATTTTCCACTTGAATACGTTTCAACATCAACCTTTTTAAGGTTTCCGATACTTCCCATTTCGATCCGCATCCCGCAATCTTGCGTGTCAGGAACGCAATCCTTCAAAAATACACCACTCTTTTTGTTAGTTGGTGTTGCAACGGCCAACCAATCGGAAGTTCAGTTCCTTAATCTCAAATGGATCCAGAAGACCACCACTCTACACCGTCGCAATCGCCGGATCTGCGTCAAGTATTAGTCCTCCGTCCACCTCCTGTCTTCTCTGTCCACGAACAATACTTCTCAAAATTCCAGATCCTGAAAGCATACGACTCGCCATTACCTACTCTCGACTTCCTCCACGCCCACGCGCAGTCGGTTAAAGTCGTACTATGCTCCGCCATACATCCAATCACGGCGGATGTGATCCGGAAACTTCCAGAACTCCAACTCGTTGTCTCTGCCGCCACCGGTGTCAACCATATCGATATGGCGGAGTGTGGCCGGCGTGGAATTAGAGTGACTAACGTCGGAGATGTGTTTTCTGATGATGTAGCCGACGGCGCTGTAGGGCTTTTGGTGGACGTGCTGAGGAGAATTAGTGGCGGAGATAGGTTTGTTCGCGGTGGTAGTTGGCCAGATGCAGGAGCGTATCCTCTTAGTTCCAAGGTAAGTAGCTTATCAAAAAAAAAATTAATCTCAAAAATGGAGTTCATGCAAAATGCAAAAACATTTTATGTTTTTCAACTAATTTATCAGTTAGTTTTTACCAAAAGTATTTGGTTCATCAATCAGCTTATCAACCAGATTTGATCTAGAAAATTTTCAAAGTGATTGCACTAACTAAGGGGCTTTTTACTTAAACACTTATTCAGTAAGCACTAACTGGTAAAATTCAATACTATCGTTTACTTACCGAGTAAGATTTTATTCACCAAAACACATCGTATGCAACAATTTATCTCGGTAAGCGCTAACCATAGTAAGGGTCATCGCTCTCACTTACCGGGTAAGACTCTCGATTTTTGTCTTCGCTCTTACCATGTAAGATTTTTAATCTTTGTCATATTCATCCAGTAAAGTAATGTGACTTGATAAGCGCTTACCTTACGATAATTAAGATGTCTTTTACCTGGTAAACGGCACCTTAATTATCATATAATCGTAATATAGAAATAAAAATTAGTTAAAAAGATATGGTTTTATAATACACGTATACAATTCATGTTAAGAATATGTTGTTTTTTATTTGTGTTAACATAAACAATATAGGTAATTCTAAAAATATTCAATATTGGACTCATTTCGAATGTATCAACGAGATTAATTAATTAGTCTATATTATATTATAAAACATTTGACAAAAACTCTTAAAAACCATTTTTATGCATGAAGTACTGTTTATTGATGCATATTACTTAAAATTCAAGATTACAAATAAATTGTGTGTAACTACAACTTATTAAAGCTTAATGTTTGAATTCGTGTAAACATAATCAAATAGAGGATGAACATCTCATTTTAAATATAAAAGATTTAAAATATAATTAGGATAATAATTGAGTTTTAACAAAATACTTGATTATTATCTTTATAAAAGATTATATTATTAAACCAAAAATAAAAAAATTAATTAAAAAAATACACAAGAAAAGGAGAAATTTCAAATAGTTAGTTTGGTACTAATATCAATATTTTTTTTTTCAATTTTTTATGATATATCTTTATATTTATATTTTATTCAAAAATAAAAACATTATCGCTTTCCCAAAACCAAATCAAACCTTATTATAATATCGATTGAGACAAAGAAAAAATGAAACATCAAAATCGAAATGTATCTCGCTACATTGTGCGAGTACCCTTCCAGTTAATATAATAAGGGTATAAAATAAATTTTGAAAAAGGAACGGAAGTAAATTAAAACATTAAATTATTTAAACAGTTAAAAGCATAACTGATTTCTAACCACCATCCTCAACTTTGACATCATGGTTTATTTCTTACCTTTTTCATTTAAATACCTTAAAAATTTTAATGTCTATGGTTTCAACCAAAAAATCTTACTATTTCATCCAAAAAAACTTATGATTTCAAACTTATATATCTTAAAAAGTTTACAGTTGGGCAAAGGGATCGATTGACTTTGTTCAAATACACAATACATGTCATTGGTTCGATCCCAGACACCTCTAGCTAGCCTCAGTTGTTCATTGAGCCGAAAAATTCCCATTACATTAGTATCCTTGAAGACGGGTTTTATATGGAGTAAATTGAAGTTACCGACAGTCAACTTTTTGCCCAAATCAAGTTTGATTATCTGATTGCAAAAATTATTATTAAAACTCGAAGGGTATTCGCGCAATGCAACGAGAGATATTATCTCGATTTCAATGTTTCGTTTTATTCCGTCTTTATAGATGTTATAATACAGTTTTTATGTGGTTTCGAGAAAGGGATAATGTTTTTATTTTTAAATAAAATATAAATTTAAAAATATCATATAATTTAAAAATTAAATATATCAATATTAATATCAAATTAACTATTTAAAAATTCTTATTTTTTGTGTAATTTTTTAATTCAATTTTTTTATTATAATTTAATTTAGATAATAACGAAGTAATATATTTTTGATTTCATAATATAATTTTTTTATAGAGATAATAATTAAGTATTATGTTAGAACTCAATGGTTATGCTAATTATATTTTAATTTTTTATATTTAAAATGAAATGTTTATCATGTATTTGACTTTGTTTGTCTGCAGTTCATTACATGAATTCAAACATAAAGCTTTAATAAGTTGTATTTACGCACGGTTTATTTGTAATCTTGAAGTTTAAGTAATAGCATTAATAAACAATACTTCATGTATAAAAAATGATTTTTAAAAGTTTTTGTCAAATACATGAAGTCAATTGAAATTATCAGTAGTCAACTTTTTACACAAATCAAGTATGATTATCTGATTGCAAAAATTATTATTAAAATAAAGATTTAAATTCCTTAATAAAATAATTAGTTTTATAAAATATGCATGGCATGTGTCATGAGATTTGACCCATAGTGGGTTGACACACCATGGAAATGCATGAAATGCATCAAAGCCATCTAATTGGGACCAGCCTGAAATTTTTATCATAAAAATAGCCCACATAAATTATTAAATTAAAGTTATTATTATTTTAATTATTATTCAATTATTTTATTGCTTTTTAATTAACCAGTTATTTGGTGATGAGTTACCTCATAAATTAGTCATGTTCCAGAAAATAAGTTAAATGATAATGTAAAATGAGTTAAAATGACTTGTTAAAAAATTACTTCATTTTTTTGGCTAAGAAACCCGTAGGTTGTACGCCAGTCATACATAGTTGGAACTGTGATGGCCACAATGCTTAGCTATTGCCGATCCCCAAGACGCCTTTGGTTGAATGTTCACACCTGATCCACCGTCTGCACTTCCTACATTCACTCCCGAAAATTGAAATAGGAAAACAGGAATGCTAACCTTCCGGTCTGTTGTAGACAGCCTCACGGTGTGCCTAATTGGCGAGTCTGTCGTCTCCACAGCTTTCCCTTTTTTGGGCTGCTCCAGATCATAATTGGGAAAAGTTGGACAAAAATGCCCCTCGAGATTGCTCAAAAGCTTTTTAAATATATGTTTAGAAGCTAAGATATGTCTTACGAAACAAGGTTTTTTCCAGTTAGTTAAAAATAAGTTAACTTTTGATGTTATGGTTTTTAGTTAGGAGGCAAGAAAGTAGGGATTGTTGGCCTTGGAAACATTGGGTCAAGAGTTGCTACAAGGCTAGAAGCCATGGGTTGCATAGTCTCGTATACCTCGAGGCAAAGAAAACACTCTACTTCCTTCATTTTCTATCCAGATGTTTTCCAACTTGCTTCCGAATCTGACGTCCTCATCATCTGTTGTGCGTTGACTGACGACACGCGTCATATGATCGACAGCAGAGTCATGAGTGCGTTAGGCAAAACAGGGGTCATCGTGAACGTGGCCCGTGGGGCCATCATTGACGAGGCAACGTTAGTGAAACGCTTGGTGGAAGGTGAGATTGGAGGTGCTGGTTTGGATGTTTTTGAAAACGAACCAAACGTACCTAAAGAGTTGTTTGGAATGGACAACGTTGTGCTTTTACCTCACAGAACTGCTTTCACAAAGGAGGCGTTTCATGATGCTGCACAGATTTTGATTGCTAACTTAGAAGCGTTTTTCACAAACAAAAGTCTGTTAAATCCAGTTGCCAATGAATTCTAGTCACACGGTCTGTTTTATTATCATAATCACTAAAAGTTCCATTTTAATATTATAAACCTTCGAACGTTATTATTTAMGTATCTCTATTCAAAAACATAAACATCAGTTGGAAATCATTCAATACACTTTTTTATATCAGTTGAAGTAGCATACAGTGTATTGTGTGCAAGACACATGCATGTAAACGATCTCAGTGTTCTTTTATGACAGTATTATTTTGTTTAATAATAATGATGATGATGAATCAAATTCATACTGACAATAATCAAATAAGAGAATAAGAAAACAGTAGAATCACATGTGATTCACGCAACTTCAGCCACGATCGGAGGTTGCAGTTCATGTCGTCCCCATACCCTTGCATTCATTGTTAGTAAAAATCAGATGTGATTTTGCACATGATTTAACTATTTTTGTGTTCTGTTATTTAGTTATTCTTTTTGTAATAATAATAATATTAATATGATATTAAAATTTGTTAGTAAATAAAAAATTTATTTCTAACCATAAGGATGATGTCTGATTGGTTTGAGCTTGGCTCCAAAGGTCAAATGTATCAGAAGGTCTCAGGTTTAAATCCAATGAGGAATAAAACTCCCCTTGTAGTCACGGAGGTTCAAATGCAGTGACTCCGGGCTATCTGCAACGCAGGTGGTCGTTCTGTAATTAATCAGCTCGCATAGTAGGTTGGATATCCAGGTTAATAAATAAAAATTTATTTCTATAATATAATATTTTTTAAGAATATTCGATCCATTGTATTTTGGCTTTGGGATAAACCCAAATTAGCATCCAATATAAATCGGTGGTGCGAGTCAGCCACTGCAAATCAACCGTCGGCCACCCATCGGTAAATTTCAGTTTTTCTCTTAATGGATTCAGAGCACCACAATTCTCCGCTGCCGGAATCATCGGATCTCCGGCAAGTGCTTGTCCTCCGTCCTCCGCCTGTCTTCGCAATCCACGAACATTACTTCTCCAACAAGTTTCAGATCCTGAAAGCGTACGAATCCACGTTACCTACTCACGATTTCCTTAAAGCCTACGCTCAGTCCGTTAAAGTCGTTTTATGCTCCGGCATGTTTCCGATTACAGCGGAGGTGCTACGAGATCTTCCGGCGCTGCAACTCCTTGTCTCCTCCGCCACCGGAGTCAACCACATCGACATGGCTGAATGTCGCCGCCGTGGAATTAGAGTGAGTAACATTGTGGATGTGTTTTCTGACGATGTAGCTGACGCTGCTGTAGGACTTTTGATTGATGTCATGAGGAGAATTAGCAGCGGTGATAGGTTTGTTCGCGGTGGACGTTGGCCGGCTGCGGCGGAGTATCCTCTTGGTTCCAAGGTTAGCATTTTCTACTAATCAAATGGTTATTCTATTCTAAATATTCTAATATCAATTATATTATTTAATCATTTCATTTTTTTTATACTTATATTATATTATAAAATATTTGACAAAAATCCTTAAAAACAATTTTTTATATATAAAGTATTGTTTATTAATGCATATTACTTAAAACTCAAGATTATAAGTAAATTGTGTGTAAGCACAACTTATTAAAGTTTGATGTTTGAATTCGTGTAACTAAATACAGATAAATATAATCAAATACATGATAAACATTTTATTTTAAATACAAAATTTCTAAAATATAATTAAGATTTCATTGAGTTCTAATAGAATATTTAATTACTATATTTATAAAAAATTATATTATTAAAAATAAATTACTTCGTTATTAAACCTAAATTAAATGATAATAAAAAAATTGAATTAAAGAAATTATAAAAAAAACAACAACTTTTAAATAGTTAATTTAATACTAATACGAATTTATTTTTTTCAAATTTTTATGATATTTTTAAATTTATATTTTATTCAAAAATATAAAAACGTTTTCCTTCTCAAAACCATATAAAACTGTATTATAAGATCGACAGAGACAATAAAATGAAACATTAAAATTGAGATGTATCTCGCTGTATTACGCGAGTATCCTTCTAATCTTTCTTTTAATCATTTAAATTCAATAACTCTTATTTTTCAAACATAAAAATATTTTTTTTCTTTTTTTAAATATTGAGTTTTAAAAAAAAGAGTTCATTAGCACATGACGCAAACTAAAGTAAAATAAAAAAAAAGACAAATTGCATGAAAAAAGTAAAGTATTTTAACTTGATTTCTATTTTAAATAACGTATTTTTAAAACTTTCATTTTAAAAACTAAGATGTAAAGTTTTAAACATTTAAATACCTGGGTAACCGGTTGAAGCAACCATGTTAATGTGGCGAGTGATGTGATATCTAACTCAGTATTATTTGTTATTCAACTCAATTTCATCCCATCACTTGCCACATCAGCATGGTAACCGGTTAATGCTTCAACCAGTTACCTGGATACTTAAATGTTTAAACTTTACATCTTTGGTACTGAAATGGAAGTTTTTAAATATATTACCCAAAATAAGAATCAAGTTAAAGTACGTTATTTTTCATACAGTTTACCAAATAAAAAAACAAAACAAGTTTCCAAAATATAAAAAGGGCAAATTGCATGAAAAATTAACGTACTTTAACTTGATTCCTATTTTGGGTAACGTACTTTTAAAACTTTCATTTTGGTACCTAAGATGTAAAGTTTTAAACATTTAAGTACCCGGGTAACTGGTTGAAGTACTAACCAATTATCATGCTGATGTGGCGAGTGATGTGGTATCCAACTCGGTATTATTTGCTGACGTGGTCAGTGACGTGGATTTTTTTAAATCTAAAATTAGTCTTTTTTTAGTCTAAAATTAGTCTTCACCAGGTTACCCGGGTACTTAAATGTTTAAAACTTTACATCTTAGGTACCAAAATGGAAATTTTGGAAGTACGTTCCCCAAAATAGGAATTAAGTTAAAGTACGTTACTTTTTCATGCAATTTGCCCATATAAAAACTAACTTTTGGCTTGAATTTTGTTTATTGTATTAACTCTTTTCTAATGATTTATGGTTTTAAGTTGGGTGGCAAGAGAGTTGGGATTGTTGGGCTTGGAAACATTGGGTCAAAAGTTGCCACAAGATTAGATGCCATGGGTTGTAGAGTTTCATATACATCAAAGCAAAAGAAACACTCCACACCTTTCACTTTCTACCCAAATGTCCTCCAACTGGCATCGGATTCCGATGCCCTCATCCTGTGTTGTGTGCTCACTGACGCCACACGTCATATGATCGACAACAAAGTTATGAGGGCATTAGGAAAAACAGGGGTCATTGTGAATGTGGCCCGTGGGGCCGTCATTGATGAGGTGGAGTTTGTTAAGTGTTTGGTTGAAGGCGAGATTGCTGGTGCTGGTTTGGATGTTTTTGAAAACGAACCGGATGTGCCTAAGGACTTGTTTGGATTGGACAATGTTGTGCTTTTACCTCACATAACTGCTTGTACAGAGGAGTCTTTTCATGATGCTGTAGACGTTTTGATTGGTAACTTAGAAGCGTTTTTCATGAATAAACCCTTGCTTACTCCTGTTCCCAATGAATTCTAGTCAAAAGTTTTGATTTATTTCACAGAAATAGTCGTTCTACTATTTGGGTTAGAGAACAAGTCTGCATACATCTTATTCTCACAGACCCGATATGATATATTGGGTATCATTTGGTTTGCTTTCTGATCTACATTTGAAATTTCGTACCATTCGAGTGTCTAACAGTTTAGTTTTGATCTGAATCATTTTGCAACTTTTATCTGTTGAGAAAGAACGAAAACAACATACTGCAAACTTTTCTTTAACAACACCACACATATTATAAAACATGTGATCCAAGTAACTGTTATCGGAAATCCATACAGATCTACATGAAACACAAACTTATTAGAAAATCCACAATCTTAACTTAAAAATCAAATCATCGATCATAAAGTTGACTTTTTTTCATCAAAACACCAAATGAAACGCTTGATATCATCGTACAAGACTTGTGCCTTCTTGGTATCAAAAATCTCGACACCATGATACCCATCGTCACCGAATTTCCTCGTCACGTGCACACCACGTGCCTCCAACATCTTTGCAAACTCTTTTTGTCTATCCACCAATGGGTCCCCACCATGACCTTTGATCAAACATTTCGGGAGTCGGGTGATCTTTTCGTTATAAGATTTGTCTTGATCTCGTAATGGATCACAATATTCGTGGTCTCGTTCACAGCCTTCAGGCAGTGCAAGAGACCACATGAGATCATTCGCCGTCAAAGGGACAATACGGTCATTTACTAGCCGAAGCTCTGTTTCGGTGCGCTTGACCCCACCGAAAAACGGTTGGTTCATTATGAGCCCTACGATCTTGATCGGATCAAGATCCATATCAAGCGCACGTAGACCTGCATTGTAGACGATATTTCCACCAGAGCTACTTCCCATTAAGTACACTTTAGAAAAGTCAGCAAGCTCAGTCAACCATTCGTCGCAACCGTTGATCCCTATACCTAGAGCCTGGTCACGCACCCACAATATCGCCTCCACAGCATCGTCGTACGCCGCCGGAAGACGGTGTTCCGGCGCAAGGCGGTACTCGACGGAGATCACGAGAGCCGGAGACTGAGCAGATACGGCGGAGCAAGAATTGTGGAAGGGAAAAGAGGTTGCGCTAAAGAGGATGAAGCCACCGCCGTGGAAGTAGATGATGACTGGGATTTTTTTCCCCGTGGTGGTTGTCGGCGGGCGGAATAGGCGGAGGCAGGTGGTGGTGGTGGGGTTGAGTGGGATGTCTTTGGAGAGAGCGAGTTGGGAATCGGTAGTGAGTTGGGGTGTGGCGGGTGATGATGGAATCGGAGCAAATCGGGTGAGTGAGCCATCCGGGTTTTGTTTGATTTTGAGAAACTCGTAAGGATCCAAATTGGATTCCGATTCAGCCATGGCTGTGAAGGCAATAGAGATATGTGGTGGTGTGTGTGTGTGTATATATATATATATATAGATATATGGTGGTGTGTGTGTGTATATATATAGATGTATGGTGGTGTGTGTGTATATATAGACACACCTACTGAGTGTGAGTGTGAGTGTGAATGTGTCTTTTAAGGAAGGATGAGTAGTTGTACCTAATATATGTGTTGAATGGTTGAGAATTGGGATATTTTTAAAATTTATAAAACATTAAATTGATTTAATAATATATTATATTTAATATTATTAGTATTTAATATATATATATATATATATATTAATTAAGTTATATTATATAATTATATATATACTTTTTATGTATATTTTATATATATTATATAATATTTTTATATGTATTATTATTATTATAATTTTATTATCTTCATTTATATTATATATATATATAGAGAGAGAGAGAGAGATATTTGGGATCATGTAAGACCAATGGTTTTTTGTGAGACCTGTAAGACCAATTTTCAACTTTTGTATTAGATCTACAATCGTCAGATCTGAACATTCATAAATGTCACAAGACTTCTCAATAATCACAAAATTGTCATCGTATAACTTTAGACCATTAGATCATTATTAGCTTATAAAGTTGATCAATGAACATATATTGGTTTTACGGGTCTCACGAAAACTCTTGATCTCACGTGAACTCAACCCTATATATATATACTATTATATATATATATATATATATATATATATATATATATTAGTATTAAAGTTTTATTGTAATTATTTTAAAAACTTTTAATTCAAAAAGTTAATTTTTATAACAGAATTAATATCGTGCAACTCATTGAGTAGTAGTTATTTACAAAAAAAAATCATTCTTACATATATTTTGTAATAAATAAGTCATCGAACTTTTAAAAATTGGTTATTTGGATCATTTCAACCAAAAAATACTACATGTGATGGCGTACTTGTCCCATAGATCAAATAAGTGAAAAACGATTTTTAAGTCACAGTTTCCATGATTTTTAATCTATCCAAATAATTGTTAAGTAAATTTTTTTATAATACGTAATATTATTATTCTATTGAATTTATATGTAGTTTGGTAATATAAAAATGGTGTTTTTTTTAATAAATACCTATTAAAAGATTGCATTTTTAAGGATCGTTATTAAAAAATATTTTTTTTTCCTTAAAAATAATTATTAGAAAAAAGTAATGGTCTTTTAAGAAAAAATAATAAAAAAGAAAATAAAACATATAATATTTTTAATAGAAATTTTGATTAAAAAAAATAAAAAAATTTCAGTACTAATATTTTTACATATTTATAAATAATATTTGTAATAGTAATATATTTACAATTAAATTAAATGAGTAAAAGAAAATTAGTATAAAAAGGAAAAAAGACAACAAAAAGACAAAAATACAAAAAAAAACATCATTATATAAGGGATAGGGTGCCATTGGTAAGGGTAGGGGTGCTATTAGTCTCCCCCTTCTAAATTCTACTTTTCGTGTACTTGCTAGATTATAAAAGTTGTACTTTGTGTACCTTTATGTTGACTTTTGGTAGCTTACGGACCAAGTTTGTTAAAATTTACACTTTACCCCCTTTAACTTTGTATAAAGGGGTGCTAATGGCACCCCTTAATAGGGGTGCTAAATATGTTGGAATTTGAAACATGATTAAAACATATAAAATATCAAAATCAATCAAATAATATAACATATTTTATTATAATAATAATAATTATTATTTATATTAATATACACATCCTCTC